TTCCGGTCATTGCAAAATTATTTAAATGGAAAAAACTTTGACTCTTTGGAGGCCTTAAAAAACGGCGTCTCTTCGTTGTTCGAATCTAAACCGCGCAGTTTTTATGATCGAGGCATCCGTATGCTGCCAGAACGTTGGGAAAAGATTATAGAAAACGATGGAGAATATATCATTGATTGAATAAAGATTTTTGTTTGCCTAATCACTGTGTAACTTTTACTCACAAACTCCGCACGAACTTTTGCACTCACCCAATACTACAGAGTAATGGAGGACAAGAGGCACGGATAAGGGAAATGAACAGGAAAGCAGCGTAGTAATGAGGCAAGTGTGGGGTAAGAGAATATAGGTAAGAGAATATGAAGCAAGAATTGGAAAAGAAGGCTGTGGCTATTTGATAAATTAGTGTGGACGGTGATGGGGAGCGGAAATATGTGGAAAAAAGGAAGGAAATGGACGGGTTACAGGAAAAATATATAAAATGGACAATGGGGGTGGAATGAAATATGCCAGGATATATGATAAGGGAGGGAACAGGGAGAGAGAGAGGGTTAGGAGAAGGGCGGGAAAAGCGGCATGAAACATGGAGTGGAGGTTGCAGGAGGGGAGGGGAGGGGAGGTATGGACGAGGGAGAGAGTGGTAGGTAGATGGGAGCAGGAGAGAAAGGAATTCATGGAAGAAAGGGGAATAGGGAAAACAGCAGGAGAAAGTAGAGTACGAGGAAATTGAAGAGAGAGATAGGGAAACACAGGAAAGAAAGATGGGAAACGATAAGAAGTTCAAGGTATAATAAATGGTATAGGTATGTGAAGGGATACCTAGAAAAGGGATATCTAGAAAAGGGTGAAAGAAGATGGAATAGGGTGATAATGTTTAGGATGGGCAATGAGATGAGGGAGGGGAGATATTGGGAAAAGTGAGAGAGGAAGAGTTGTAGGATATGTGGAAGAAGAGAGGAAACATGGGAACATGTATGGGAAGAATGCACGAGATGGGGGGGAGGGAGAGGTAGTAGAAAGGTTGCTAGAGAAAGAGAGAGGGGGAGGGAGAGAGCGAGAGAGAGAGAGAGAGTGATTGATTTGCCTTTATTAGCTTTCTCGGCTATTTGCATACATTTATATATAATAATATAGCTAACTTAATAGTATTAGGAGCGCAAAAAAGTTCTGAGCCCTAGATTTCATACTACTGAAACCACAATTTAAATTGCATTAATTTTCCCGCCCTCTTGCGGTTTTAAAGCAGTGACATTTGGTCTTTCGAAACATCGTGCGATTTGGCGTTTGATGCACATAACCTTAAAATCAGCAGTGTTCACGATGGCAATAACAAAAGAGCATATTCGATTTTTCATCCACTTCGCGTTTCATCTGAAGAAAAATGCTGCTGAAGCCACTGAAATGATCTGCGTTGCATATGGAGAGAACGCTGTAAGTTATGCTACGTGTAAAAGGTGGTATCAAAAATTTCGCCAAGGAGATTTCAGTCTTGAAGATGAACCGCGTGCTGGACGCCCTCAAAAGATTGAAACGGACGAACTGCAAGCATTGTTGGATATAAACTCTGTACAAACTGAAAAGGAGCTTGCAGAGCAACTTGACGTTACGCGACAAGCCATTTCCACACGTTTACATGCAATGGGAAAAGTTCAAAAGGAAGGCAGATGGGTTCCGCATGCATTGTCCGAAGACAACAAAAATCGACGGCGTGACACGGCACTCACTTTGCTTTCAAGGTTCCGGAAAAAGGATTTTCTGCACCAAATCATTACAGGTGATGAAAAGTGGATACTTTATGATAATCCGAAGCGTAAAAAATCATGGGTTGACCCTGGTCAACCTTCGACATCGACGCCAAAGACCAATATCCACGCCAAGAAGGTTTCGCTTTGCATATGGTGGGATTGGGAAGGTGTATTGTATTACGAGTTATTACAGCCGGGTGAAACAGTAACGGCAGATCGCTATCAGCAACAATTGAGCAATTTGAGCGATGCGTTTGAAGAAAAGAGGCCATTTACTGGCAAAGGACGTCGTAAAGTGATACTGCTTCATGACAATGCCCGACCACATGTTGCAAAAGTGACTCAGGACCATATCTTTGCGTTAGGCTGGGAACTTCTCCCGCACGCGGCGTATAGCCCAGACATGGCGCCTTCCGATTACTACCTATTCCGGTCTCTGCAGCATTTCTTGGCTGATACACATTTTGTGACACTTGAAGAGATACGAAAATGCATTGATGACTTTATCGCCTCGAAGCCGGTGAGCTTCTACCATCAGGGAATTCGCAAGCTGCCCGAAAGATGGCAAAAGGTCATCGATGCAAACGGGGGATATTTCGTTGATTAATATAGTTTTGTTTGTTTTTAAATAAATTTTGAATTTTGCAAAAAAAAGCTCAGAACTTTTTTGCGCTCCTAATAACTTACACCTAATATATATTCTTTGAGTTTCCTTTTATAATGCTCTCTCGCCTTTATAATCTCTCATTACTCCTTATTTCTAAAAGTAACTCATTATACATCTTTATTCCTGTGTAGAATAAGCTTTTTTGTGCAGTGCTAGTCCGACGAAATTGGATAGCAATATTATTGGCGTGTTTGTCGTCCGTTAGGAGCAGGGCGGACGAGCACCTACTATTTGTAAATTATTTGTCAATTAATCAATAATCCTTTCACCGCTTTAAAAATAAATATGCACGTATTATAATATAGCTTCTGTCTTATTGATATAAAACACAGCACATTCCGCATATGCTCGACTTTGGTATCACGCTTACACTGCAAAATAACTTTCATAGCCCGATTCTGCGCTACTTGCAGTCTGTCCAGCTGTGTTTCTCCCCCATTAATCAACACACAATATTCAAAATGCGGTGCAATAATTGCTTTATATATAGTATATCTACTATACACTGTTAAATTGCTATCTATCCTATTTAAGAAGCTTGTTTTTTTACCTATTTTTTTTAATATATCACAATGTTCTTCTAGTCTTAGCTTGCTGTCAATGATTACTCCTAGATATTTTATATTTTCTACTTGTTCTATTGACAACCCATCCATACATTTTACTATAATGTTCGCTTTTAATTCGTTTTTTACACTTCTCACAACCATATATTTTGTTTTGCCCGCATTTAATTTTAGACCATTCACATTCATCCATTCTTCAGCTATATTAAATATATTCATTTTCCTTTCAATTTCCTCTTAAGTTATTCCAGTAATATATTAGGTTGGAGAAAAAGAAATCCATTATTTTTCCGTTAGATGGCTTTAGTGGTATATATCACGTGATGTATTAATCGCATAGGTTAATATTTATACTCGTTAGAAAAGTGACATTCCGTACTAAAAAAAATTCTTTAACGGTTTTGTGATTTGTCGATTAAGTTGTGAGCTATAGTACGTAAAAGATATACGTCAACAAAGAGAAAATTCGGTATATTTTACAATTTTGCTTCGATAAAGGCGAAAATGCAAGCCAGGCGGCTGAAATTGTGAATGGTGTTTATCGTGAATGGTTCCGATACTGTCACAGCCAATCACGCGCAATTTTAGTTTCGTCGATTCCGTTCCGGTAATTTTGATGTTAAAGATGCATCTCGCACAGGTAGGCCCGTCGTTGAAAATGTCAATAAAATTATGGAAATGATCGAAGTAGACCGGCATGTTAGCAGTCGTAATATCGCCCAGGAGCTGAAGATCGACCACAAAACAGTTTTAAACCATTTGCATAAAGCTGGATTAAAAAAAAAGTTCGATGTTTGGGTGCCACATGAATTGACGCAAAAAAACATGATGGACCGAATTTCAATCTGCGAAGCCTTGACCAAATGGAACGAAATCGAGCCATTTCTGAAACGGATGGTGACTGGCGATGAGAAATGGATTACATATGACAATATTGTGCAAAACGATCGTGGTCAAAGCGCAGCGAAACGGTTCAAACGGTGGCCAAACCAGGATTAACGGCCAAGAAGGTTTTACTGAGTGTTTGGTGGGACTATAAAGGAATCATCCACCATGAGCTGCTTTCATATGGCCAAACACTAAATTCAGACCTCTATTGTCAACAATTGGACCGTTTGAAGCTAGCGATCGACCAGAAGCGGCCAGAATTGGTCATTAGGAAAGGAATTGTTTTTCATCAGGATAATGCCAGGCCACATATGTCTATAGTGACTTGTCAGAAACTCCGGGAGCTTGGTTGGGAAGTTTTGATGCATCCACCTTATAGTGCGGACCTGACACCAAGCGATTACCATCTGTTTTTGACATTGCAAAACTTCCTTGATGGCAAGAAATTGACCTCAAGAGAAGACTGTGAAAATCGCTTAGTCGAGTTTTTTGCAGATAAGGACCAGGACTTCTATGAAAGAGGGATCATGAAATTATCTTTAAAATGGCGACAAATTGTAGAACAAAACGGTGCTTATTTGACCAAAATCGAACAATCCTAACTATGTTAAATAAAGCCTTGAAATCCTAACTATGTTAAATAAAGCCTTGAAATAAACGAAAAAGTAGTGGATTTCTTTTTCCCCAACCTAATATATAATATTAAAATAGATGTTCTATAAAATATACTCACAGTACACAGTAGTGACAAAAATCAAGTGATAAGTGGGGAGCACATACTTCTGCATAACGCATAATGCATAATGCATAATGAAATGAACTAATCAAAGTACTTCATTTATATCCCCATGATGAAATAAAGGACACTGATTGATTCATTCCCTTATGCGTTATGCATTCTGCGTTATGCAAAAGTGTGTGCTCCCCGCTTGAGGCTGAAGTTAGCAGTAACCTATATGTAACAGCTGATTCAAAAAGGCAAGGATTTCCAATCGCTAAAAGAATATCAACTTGTAACCTAATTTATTGAATATAATTTTTAAATTATGTAATTTATGTCTTTATAGAAGTTGAAAATCCTCGCTTTGCTATTTTGTTACAAATTAAATATGAGCATATATGATATGATACAGTGACAAAAACATTTAATTATATGATTACCTGTCATCTTCGGGTAAAATTTTTTCCTTCCTCAGTGGAGCTTCATAATCATCTAATCCAGATTTATAATTATTATGAATATCATTGTCGGTATGATCGTCATCACTGTCATTAGGTGTGTCGAGGTTAGATTCGTAGCAACATTTTTTTCTATTAAAGTATAAAATACAGCGAATTGAAATCTCGATAATAATCTATGTATATATATTACTAATAATTAAATAATACCTGTGGTTTCTTAAGCGATTAATTGCAGTGTTTTGCAAAATTTTATTGCAAACTTTGCACTGTGCAATTAACTTTTCTGTATTATTTCTTTTTTGGACAAAGCCCCCTTCCGTCCAATAAGAATGTTTAGATTTTCCGCTCTTGTTCATTATATTATTTATTATTTGTCCTCCCTTCCTTCCTCAATATGTGGCTATGCGGGGTTGCGGGACCTTGACGCCTTTTACGAGGCACATGTATGAAACTAAAGTAGTATCATACCCTAGTATCATACGTATGAAACCTATGTACGATACATAAGGTATTATACGTTCCCAACCCTGCCGAGCAGCATGACGTAGGAGACGGCGCGCAGCGGCGAGCGGCGGTCCGCGGCGGCGCGAGGTAACGCGTAGGGGACTAGACGAGCGCCGACTATCCACTGTCGTCTCTTTCTCGCTCCTCTAGCTTGCCGACTGTGTCAGCCACAAGATTTTTCTCGCTACGCCTATGCCTCGTTCTTTTTCTCTCTCGCTCACTCGTTCGCTCTTCCTCTCTTCTCGCGTTCTTACGGCTGGATATATTAATTATATGACATATATATAGTGATATATATGATGATGAAATATTATGTTACGTCCTGGAGGAGGAACGCAACTTGACGCTTGCTTTCACAAGCTCCGACGTACTTGCAAGTCTGCGGTGCAGATCAAGGATCGGAATGACCCCTTTATCTGGCGCGGATTTATCTTATACGTCGGTGGTCCCTTATTTAGGTCAAGGAACTGAATCCTTTTACCTGAGATAGGACCATGAGCGACAGTTGAGGGAAGGGAGAATGTTTTGTGTAAAATAATTAATTCGAAAACGTGATTGGCTTACAATTACAAATAACTTGTTTTATTGATGATTAAGCGAAAGTTCACAGTGAAAGAGAATTTGTAATTTATGAATGTATATATATATACGTATATATATTGGGTATATGAATATGACTCCGCCCTTTTTTGTTAAAATAAAACACATTTGCTTGTTTAGAAAATTAAAGAAAAGTTTATTGAAAGTATGCTCCATCTGCAGCTACAACCTTCGCCCACCTTTCAGGTAATTTATGTATTCCTTGCCTGAAGAAGTGCTAGTCTTTTGAGCTGATCTAATTATCAAGCCAAATTTTGATACTTTCGTATGAAGTGAACCGCTCTCCCGTAAGATCTGACTGCATCGTCCGGAATAAGTAGTAATTTGAAGGAGCTATGTCTGGCGAATATGGCGGGTGGAGTAGCATTTCCCAGTCCTGTCCATCTAAATATCTTTTCACGACTTCTGCGGTATGCGGTTTGGCATTATCATGCTGAAGAATTAATTTGCTGTGCCTATTCACCCATTCTGGCCATTTTTCTTCTATGGCTTGCTTCAAACGCATTAGTTGTCGTCGGTAAACTTCTCCTTTAATAGTTTGGCAACAATCCTTTGTCAATAATGTTTCCAATTCAGCATCTTCAAATTTTTTTGGTGGTTTCCCATGTTCTCTGTCCTCAATTCTAAAATCATTATTTTGAAATCGTCGAAACCATTCCTTACAAGTTGTATTAGATGGAGCAGGATCACCGTAAATCTCCACAAGCAAACGATAAGTTTCCGCTGCACTTTTCTTTGCAATAAAATAGTGTAATAATACTTCCCGCAAATGATGTTTGTTTGGAACGAAAACCGACATTTCCAAGTAGGGTAAAACACTTGTTGCTTACACTTAAACCAAATTTCACGTAGTGCGTTTGAAAGTTGACATGAAGTACTATCGAATACAAGTGTTGCCAGTTATTAGTACACGTTAACAATACTAAAAGCAACATCTGTTGGGAAAGGGCGGAGTCATATTCACACACCCAATATATGTATAAACAATCTGAGCAAAATTCTGTGTTCGTTATGTTCGACTGTGATTGAAAAGATTGGGCCACTGGCATCTAATTTAATAATTAAGGCAGAATGCCAAGGGACTAGAAAAAGGGAAACAAAGGAAAGGAAAAGAAAAGAGAGAGAAGAAAAGAAGAAAATGAAAAGACAGAGGTCACTCAGGCAAAAGAAAGTATAAATAACTTACTGCTGGATCTATGCTATTTGTCGAAAATGAAGTGTAATTACTGCGTGTCGGTGAGGATGGATGACCCAAGTTTGCGCCAAGAATAGGAAGCTGCTCTCCGCTGTACTGCTCACGATGGTCCAAAAATGCACTAGATCGGTGCACGGAATAATTAAGAACTGACGAAAATCTGATCTGTCTAAGCCACTAGTAGGCTTGGTTATTAAGAGACCCTGAAGGGGTGCTGAAGAGAAGACTCTGTCCTGGCTGCGGGTCGGTCGAGAGGAGAAGTAGAAGTGGCATAGCTTTTTCATTTTACTCAAAACGTCACCTCGGTCGAGAAGGTGGGGTTTTGGAAGTTGCGTCAGGGCTCCAAAGTTTATATCCAAATATGGGTATAGGATTTTGTTGCAAAACTTTTCGGAAATGGGGTTTTAGGGAGGCCTGAGATAGATGTGGTAAAGGAACGGGTATCTATGGCAGTAAAATACTTCAAGGTTCCGCTAGGGTTAGTCAGAGATTATGCGCAATAAAAATTTATGAATAACGTGGGAAAGCATGAGTTTCCGAAAATCGAAGGCTAGTAATATTATATAAAAGTATGAAAGATTGTCTGGTCGGTCCGTCTTCAAAGAAAATTGTTGCTCCGAACAGGAAGTTATTCAAGGTTATTTGGAGAGGAGATATATGACTAAAATAACTCGGCGGATCTTTCTGACGGAAATAGGGAAACTCCGGTGATTAAAGCAGAGAGAAAAAAAAGAGAAATCTGTGTGTGTGTGTGACGTCTGTTCTCGGAGGGTCGCGGAACATGAACATTGGTATAATATAAAATCCAATCCGCCCTACTTGACAACGAATTCAGAGTACGCGGAGTCAGCAGATCGTAACAATTACATATATATGAAATATATATAAAAATGATCGACATACACATATAGTATATGTACTACTGTGATAAAAAAATAAGATGAATTTATTTATAAAATGAAAAATCTTTATTTATTCTTCCAAATCAATTTCAACGCCTTCAAAGTACTCCCCGTCCGACACAATGCACTTATGCCAACATTTTTTCCAATCCTCGAAACAGTCAGAGAAATCTTTTTTCGGGATGGCCTTCAATACTTTCTTCGATTCGGCTTTTATCTCCTCAATCGAGTCGAAACGGTATCCCCGGAGCGGTCTTTTGAGTTTGTTGAACAGCCAGAAGTCGCACGGTGTTAAATCAAGCGAATACGGTGGTTGTGGAACGATATGGGTCGAATTTGGCGAAATGTTCTCGAAGGACCAATGCAGTGTCGAGATTTGACGTGTTTGAGGCACAAAACATCTTTTAAAATAGTTAGGGTTGATCCAAATGAAATGTCCGTAGCATCAGCAAGGTTTCTAATTGTCAATCGACGATTTTCGAACAGTAAATCTTTGATTTCCTTGACGTGGCTTTCATCGGTAGATGTTGATGGTCGTCCGGGGCGCTGTCCGTCTTGAACTCATTCTCGGCCTTCTTTGTACCACTTGTGAACATTTTTTTGCGACATAGTCTTATCACCAAAGGCCTTGTGCAACATCATCAACGTTTCCGCGGCAGAATATTCATTCCGCAAACAAAATTTAATGTAAATTCTTTGCTCAACAAAATCAGACATAGTAAAAATCGAAAAACTCACTTTTGTATGTTTACAAAAACACGTATAGTTCTGCAGCAATTGAATATATTGACATGAAACTCTACATAGATGTCAAAGATAGTGCTACCAACCCACCAAAAAATAATTTCATGATTTTATAGTACCCGCGAAGTTTAAATGAAAAATTCACCTTATTTTTTGATCGCAATAGTATATAAAGAATTTTTAGCATTATTGCACAAATAAAGAAGAGAAAAAGTTATAATGAGAGATAAAAGGTTAATAGAAATCCTCTCTTGGCCAATATATATGTTTTTTGACAAATGATTTGTTATGTAATGAGTGACAGAATAACTTATTTATGCTAATAGATTGAAATTAAATTAAATTGAAATTAAAAATTGAAATTGAAATTAAAAATTAAATTAAATGTCATTTGTTTTGGAAAAAATATTCCACTGCTACATTTTTATTTTCGTAGTAAAAATAAATATAGACAAATAAAAAAATAGTTTTATTATAATATTTCAATTACGAGTTTATTATTTAGTTTTACGAGTAGATAACATATATATTGTTGCTCAACAGAAACCGCGAGAAGGTGGTGGTCTTTCCCATCAAAAAATAAATACAACTTTTTCAATACATGTCATAAAGTAGATTAAACGAGAAGACAACGGGATAAGCAGAAAAGGCGATAAAAAAGAAGAGAAGGAATAATAGGTATAAGGTAGAAAATATCGAGAAGTGGAGAAAAATAAAGGCTGGCAAAAGCTATCTTATTTTTTCTATCTTATTATGGAAACGTGCGATGAATCGCAAACATTAAAGCGCAAATTTGTACAAGGGTGGCATAACAATGAACGTTATAAGTCTTGGATACGTCAAGTGTCCTCGGATGACAGCCTGTACTATTGCGCTGTATGCAATAAACATTTTTCATGCAGCTCAACGCATGTTTCCAAACACGCGGATTCTGCGTGTCATAAAAAAAAAATTGCGGAAAATGTTTCACCGAATACGGAGATGAATAAGAATGATGCAGTCCATTGTTCGGGAAAATTTAGGTCACAATGGCTCGACATAGATAAATTTCATTTGTGGTTACGCGAAATACCAAATGATGCGCATGCAGCTTCTTGCATTTTTTGCAAAATAACCATGTCTGATAATTTAGCAAAAATACTGACACGCAGAATCCAAAATGCATAGAGATCGATCGGAAAAAAATTTAGAAACGAATAGATCGGACAAAAGCTTAAATACACCAACTGATGCATCTCTTTTATCGTTTGACGAGTGTAAAAAGGCTGCAGAGATACGATTTGCCGCATTTATTGCAGAAAAAATATACCTCATCAAACTGCAAAAGAGATGCTCAGTTTATTTCAACACATTGGAGAAGATCCCAATGTGTTGAAAAGCTATTAGTCGAACTAAGTGCCAAAAAATTATTTCGAACGTTTTATATCCGGTAGAGACGGAACGTGTCGTTAATAACATTCAGAATACTAAGTTTTCCATTTTTATTGACGACACATCAGATATAACTAACGATAAATGGATGACATTCTTTGTTCGATATGTTAATTCCAACACTTTAGATACTCGGTTGCAATTAGTAAAATTGATTGATGTAGATGCAAGAGATTGTAATGCTGATAAATTATTTAATGCATTTCGATCGGAAATGTATTAACTGCAGACTCCGTTTCAGAATATTCTTGCCCTGTCATGCGATAACGCATCTATTATAACAAGAAAACATGTATCTTTTAAAAAGAAGCTGGAAGAAAAATGAAAGAATTTAATAACATTT